TTGATTTATTGTAGTTTTCAATATTAAATAAAGCAGTTCACAAATAATCTTTTTTTTTTTTTTTGTGGTACTGGGGATCATACTTGACCTTGGGCTTGTGAACTAGATGTGGTGCCACTAAAATCCCTGGCCCTCAAAATAGACTTTTAAGCAGCCTGTAGAAGTACTAGAGTTCCCAAGATTTCACATATTTGAGTTTATCATAGTAATATGTTCACATTGTTTTAAAATTCTAATCTAATAGTTTAGAAAAATCGCGATTAAAGTCATTCCCAGACTAATTCTGTTGAAATGAATATAAGCATTATCCAGGTGTACATTTGGCTGGAAAAGGACAAATGAGTATCTACCAATGTTAACACTTTTGATGGTCTATGATAGATGATGCTGATGGAGAAACAGAAGTTGGAGAAATACAGCAGAATAAAAGTGTCACTTATGATCTCTCGAAGTTGGTAAACTATCCAGGTTTTAATATATCGACTCCCAGAGGAATTCCAGATGTAAGTTTTTTTTTATTCTCTGGAATGTGATATTATGTTAAAGATGAAAAGATTAACTCAAACAGTTGTTGCTATTATATAAAGAAGTAAGTTTGTCATTTTCAAGGACCTGGGACTGATCCCCAGTACTACCCAAAACAAAAAGAGCCCAGCATGGTGGTGCATGCCTGGGAGACTGGGACAGGAAGACTGCAGATTTGAGCCCAGCCTGGGCAATTGAGTAAGACCTGTCTCGAAATTTTTTAAAAGCAATTTATAAAAAAAGGGCTGGGGATGTACCTTAGTGCAGAGGATCTGGGTTCAGTCTCCAATACCACAAAAAAAAGAAGAGGGAGAAGAACATTTATTACTTACATCACTTAACCTTTTGATTTGTTTTTAGTGGTGCTGGGGACTGAACATTTGAGGCCAGAACTCTGCCACTGAGCTACATCCCCAGGCCTCATTTCCTTTTTCTTGAAAAAAACTTAAATCTTGTGTTCATCAAAATCACAGTTTTCTTCTGATGTTGTATCTTATAAATGGAAATAAAATAGATTAATTCTGTTCTATAAATTTATAATTATTCTAAAATGAAAAGGTTTTATTTTTTGGTACCAGGGATCGAACTCAGGACCTTGCATTTGCCAGGCAAGCCGCAAAACCACTGAGCTAGATTCCTGGCCCTTTTGTTTTAATAAAAGCTACATTTCTATAGTTCTTAGGATCTTTTCCTTAGACTCCAGTAAAGGATAAGTCACCTAAGAAGCAGATATGTAATCTGAAATCCCCACTTTAACTCTTTTGAGCAAAATACCAAAAGATGTTTTCCAAGTACAAACTTTTCTTCTCTATTTCTCATAGGAATGGAGGATGTTTGGTTCCATACCGATGCAGGCCTGTCAGCAGAAGGATGTGTTTGCAAATTACCTTTCGTCAAACTTCCAAGGGGTAAATAGACTCTCAGGGTGTGGTCCGGAAACCTCTGTGGCCTCTCTTGCTCCTTATATAACACGCTCTTGCCTGATGAGTCAAAGCACGGTCGGGAGCTGAGTTCCTCAGTTACGTGCCCTGGCTCCAGACTGGCTTCTGCAGCTCCTTGTGGTGCAGGCCATAGGTTGATCCTCTGTCTTCCCCTCTGACTGTTCATCTTGGTCCCTCCTGCAGCCAGGCCTAAAGCCCAGTGGCAAGCGGTCTTCATCGCAGTCCAGCTCCAGTAGCCCAAAGAAGCAGAGGAAGGAGGGCAGCTCTGCAGTGTCCCCTGCTGACATGGAGCTTGACTCGGGTAGGTCTTACCACGTACTTTTGATCTCCCTGGGAAAGCAGAATGAACCTCTGCACCTTTGTTCTCAAGGATGGGGTGCCCAGTGGGAAGCCACCCTTGGGTGAGAGCCAGTGGGGTCAGCCCCCTGGACCCCTAAATTCAGCAGACTCATGCACACAGTAGTGCTCCATCCGGATGCCCTCAGCCGAGGAGGGCTCTTTGCTTGGATGGTAGGAAGCCTGTGCCCCTATGGCAGTGCTGTCCCCAGAGGAGGAGAAGGGGCAGAGCTGAGGCAGGCTTTGACAGGTACCATCCCAGTTGTGCTACTCCCAAAGCCACCGCTCCTCTCCAAAAGAGAGATCACAAGTAAGTCTTGTCCCAGTAAACCCAAAATGAGGCTGTCTTTGGCCTCTGACACTCCTGTGCCTGCTCTCTTAACCCTATGCACTTCACTTCCTCAGTACCAGCCCTACTACTCCTTGAGTTTCCCTTGAGAATTTTTTTTTTTGGTTTATTGAAACAGGGTCTCACGGTAGTTCAGATTGACCTGGAACTCACTGTGTAGCCCAGGCTGGTCTCAAACTCACAGCGATCCTCCTGTCTCAGCCTCCCAAGTGCTGGGATTACAGGTGTGAGCCACCACACCTGGCGGAAATTCTGATTAGTAGTTTAGATCTTGCTCCCAGAAAACCCTGGAGTGGATGCGAATTTTGTGTTAATTAGATAATTCCAAGGCAGCTCTGAATCCAAGGCTGAGAACTCATTTCTTGTTCTAGTTCTCATCTCCACTTACACCTCGTTACTTTGTTCTGTATAGTATGTGAGATGTTCTGAAGTCAGATGAAATTGTAACAATAAAAATACATAAAGAATCACCACAAGTTCAAGGCCCGCCTGGGCTACATAGTAAGTTCAAGACTAGCATAAAAGCTACATATCCAGTCCCTGTCCCAAAACAAAAATACATAAAGATAATCTAATATAGTCTGAGGGTGTGGCTCAGTGGTAGAGCATTTGTTAGGCCCTTGGTTTAGTTTCAAGCACCACATACACACAAAAAATTCTAATAAGATATCAGCGATGTAAGTTACTGAAATTTGAAATGAACCTTCTTCAGGGCCCTGGGGATTTAGCTCAGCGGTGCCTCCCCTGCCTAGCAAGCACACGTCCTGAGTTCAATTCCTGGTATCAGAAAAAAACAAATAAAATATGAGGGGGGAAAAAAAACAAAAAACAAAACCGATTCAGCCTGGAATGAACCCTCTCTCATTTTTAAATTCCCAGGGGGAATTTAAAAGTCTCAAATGAAGTTATTTGGCTGGCCGCAGTGTCACATGCCTGTAATCCCAGCTCTTGGGAGAGTAAGGCATGAAGATTGCCTCAGGCTAGGGCTACATAGTGAGTCCAAGGCTCGGCCTGAACTGCATAGTGATACCCTGTCTCAAAAAAGAAAAAAAAAGACCTCAAATGAAGTCACTTTAAAGTTCAAAAAAATTAATGTCTGAAATGTAGAGGTATGCAGTTGTAAACCCAGCCCTTAGGAGGCTGAGGCAGCAGGATTGCTGCAAACAAGACCCTAATTTTAAAAAAACAGGATTATTTTCCACAAGTGACTTCAAAGCCCATATATAAAGCTGCCAAGTTGCTTCCTTACATTTTTCACTTTGCCACAGGGGTTCTGGGTTTCCAGTAAGTGTTCACCACCTGGCCTTCTGGTACCTATAACCTTGCTTCTGTTTCCGGGTTTCCCTTCTACAAAGGCCAGAGGATTAACTGCGAACAGAATTGTTGAATCGTTTGTCCCATACCCATGAAATTGTGAAAGCACACAATTCTGAAAAACCTTGAGCAGTCGTCCCACATTACATCCCAGAGGTCAGCACTTCTCCCTGTATGAGAGACCATCACCCAAGGGTGCATGCAGCTTGGCTGGAAAGCTGCTAGTTCATTCTCCAGCTTCACACAAAAAAGAAAAAAGCCAGGAACAGAGGTACATGCCTGAAATCTCAGTTTTTAGGGAGGCTGAGGTAGGAGGATCCCAGATTGAAGCCCAGACAGGGCAGTCCAGAGAGACCCAGTCCCCCAAAATATAAAAGGGGCAAGAAATATAGTATGGCACTCCCTGGGCTTGGTCCCCAGTATTGTGTATCATGTTCACAATGGGGCCATGATTCGTAAGTCTCACTGTCGGGAGGCTCCAATTTCATTTTATGAGTAAAAATACCAACAAAAGGAATTAGATCCTTCTGTACCACCAGTGGTTGGAGTGCCTGATGGGACAGTCGTGTGTGCTCCCCCAGTGGTGCAAGCCATGGGTGTGTGTTTAAGAAAAAAAAACTTAGTTCTGCTGCCTGCCCCGCAAGTGCAAGGACCGGAGTTCGATCCCCGGTACCAAAAAGAATTTTTTTTTTAATTAAAAAAAAAAAAACTTGGCAAGATGATCCATTGTTAGCCAGGTGTGGTGTCGCATGCCTATAATCCCAGCACTCAGGAGGCTGAGGCAGGAGGATCACTGTGAGTTCGAGACCAGCCTGGGCTACATAGTGAGTTCCAGGTCAGTCTCACCTACATAGTGAGACCCTGTCTCAAAACAAACACACAAAAAAATGATCCATTGTTTTCTGGGTAAGAGCAGGAGTGATCATGTGAGTCTCCAGGAGGCTGGCTGTCAGCATCACTTGTGTCTTCACTGTCTGCCTCACCCACAGTACAGTGGGAGGAAGAAAGCCACCTGTACTTGTTGAGTCATTTGAGACGTGATGGTCATCTCTCAGTTTGGGACATTGGCAGTAGCTCCCCTGTCCCCAGGTTTACCTTCTGGGCAGCAGTTTCAGCCTTGGCCTCACCTTTTCCTCTTGTTGGGGATCACCAAGGCCCGAGGAGCCCACCTTCTAAGGGGAGGGTCTGTCTGTCCTTCTCCGAAGGCCAGAGGCTGTAGTTGCAGGAGTGTTCTCCACACTCCTCCCTGGGCCATCAGTGCGTAGTGGCGTTCGGGGCAGCGTGGGCCCTCGCCTGTCCAGTCCTGGTAGTTAGAAAATTGCTGAATCTGATGCACATGGAGCTGTGCAGACCTGCTGGGCCAGTGAGCCTGGCCTGGCACTGCCTCACTTCTCCATCAGGCTGGGCCCCACCTACCACTTCCCTTCCTCCTGCCCAGCAGTCCAGGAGGGGACCAGGCCTAGGACCTCTGTTTCAGTGCACCTTCAGAAAGAAGCAGTCACCTAGTGGTCACTTTCTGCTGGGAAAATGTATTAGTTTACATAATTCATGGTGTAGGTGAAGTGGATATCTTGTCCCAAATCTGCGAGGTATACAGTGATTCCCTTCATAATTGTAAAACATATCTATCTGAATAGCTTTTTCCTGTTCATTGTTACATTCTTAAGTTAGTTGTTTATTGTGATATTCAAATGAAACTTGGTTTTTAAGCTGCTTGAGATAAAATTTATTCTTGCACGTGCTTGGCATGCACTCTACCAACTGAGCTACATCCCCGGACCCCACCACACCTTTTGAGACAGATCTAAGTAAGTTTCCCAGGCTGGCCTCAAATATGCTATACTCCTGCCTCAGTGTCCCAAGTAGCTGGGATTACAGCTATGTACCACTATGTCCAGCCCTGATTTATTCTTAAAAGCAAATTCATGTATATTGTATAAGAAATCATTTACTGTCAGGCAGGGTGGCGCACGCCTGTAATCTCAGCACTTAAGAGGCTGAAGCAGGAGGATTGCTATAAGTTTGAGGCCAGCCTGGGCTATACAGTCAGTTAAAGGCCAGCCTGGGCTACTTAGTGAGACCCTCTCTCAAAAAAAAAAAAAAAAAAAAAAAAAAATA